CCCGCCCCACAGCTTACTGGTCTAGTCTACTAAAAATAAAGCAGTGCAAGCTCCTGGAGAACTGTTGCTTAGCTACATTCTCAATTATCACAATGCTGGCCTTACTCATTCAGTGTCAAGGTCAAAGCAATTGTTTCTTTACTTTAATGATGAAGTATCCTGTTTATAAAAATCTTATCTGTTTCCTACTTGGTAAAATATTGCACATTTCAGTCAATCACTGCTGGCGAGTCCTCCGGAGAGACAAAGTGTGAGAACATAACCGGTAGCGTTAATTTTTGCCCTTTAATGGAGAGCTTTTTTCCCCAACTCCACCCAGAATGCCAACTGCCTCACACAGTGACACACAGGCAACCAATTATACCAACATTTCTTTCCTTCTTTGCTGTAGCCAGCCAAGTATGGCAGTAGTTGTACATTTATTCTTATTCTTCCCCCCCATCCAACGGCAGGCATAAGTTAAGCGGCAATTTTTAAGTAGCATGCATCTCTACATCAGCGCTGTGGGAAAGCTGAAGCAGAGAAGGAATTTCCCCATCAGTTTGAAACATGAGAATTTTTTGGTTCCTCTTTGCCTTTGAGAGCAGGTGTTCAACTGCAAAGACTGCGCTTCTCCCCAGGCTAGTCCGGGCTGCTGAATATTTCATAGCCCCTGAGAAACGCAGCTGTAATCAACTTGCAAATAATGAAATGGGCAGTGATAATAGAGCAGAGGTAAAGAGCGCCATTAGAAAGCATCAGTGCTTTGGCTGCTGCTGCAGTCTTGCTGTAACAATTTATCAGGTTATTTGATAAAATAATAATGCTATCAACTATGAAATCAAAATGAATGCCATGCCAAAAAAAAAATCAGAAAGTGTCTCAGGTGGCCAACGTGAATAGCAAAGAGGAAAAAATCAGAAAGAGTGCCAAAGGGATCACATTCAAGACTGAAACTCCATTGAATGTACTTAATCACATGCCAATTGCACACAGTCACATTAGGGTATTAATAGAAAAGTAAGTTTACAGAAGTTACTTAAGGCAGGAAAAGTTTTATAAATATTAAAATAAAACAAAGAAAATATTTAAGCAGCAGTAAACACGTTCATTTTAATCAAAGCTTGTAGAGTAACCCAGCTGCTGTCCTACATTCTTTGTAACAGGATCTTGAGGTTTGACCTTTGGAGCCTCAGACGTTTACAGTCCCCTCTGTATTATTTAGTGCTGAGGAGCACCGAAAGACAGTGAAAGACCAACAGTGAGATTACTATAATGGTATTTCCTGAATATATGACATGAGCTATGATTAAGAATTTCATGTTGAAAACCAGGATTGTGCAAGAGGTGAAATGAAACAGGCAGTGATGGGGGAGATAGCAAGATGTACTTGTGAATTAACACATACAAATATCTTAAGGGTGGAAGTCATGAGGATGGAGCCAGACTCTTTGCAGTGGTGCCCAGCGACAGGACAAGGGGCAATGGGCACAAACTGAAACGTAAGAGGTTTCAGTTGAATATGAGGAAAAACTTCTTTACTTTGAGGGTGACAGAGCCCTGGAACAGGCTGCCCAGGGGGGTTGTGGAGTCTCCTTCTCTGCAGATATTCAAAGCCCGCCTGGACGATGTCCTGTGCAACCTGCTCTGGGTGAACCTGCTTTAGCAGGGAGGTTGGACTGGATGATCTCCCAAGGTCCCTTCCAACCCTTGCCATGCTGTGATTCTGTGTGATTCTGTGACCGCTCGTACAAACATGAATTAATGTCACAGATGAGTCTACAGTAGTTACGTGGTAAAAGGGGCGAGTTCATACATAACAAACCATACAGGTGCACAGTGAGACATCCTACTTCCTATCAACAAAGATAACCTCTACCCATCTTTATGAATTTGGATGGAGGTGTGACTCAGACACTAACTCTCTACCCTGACCTGCAATATAAGCATGGGTAAGTCAGGAAAAGGCAGTCTGCATGTTGGATTGGGCCACCTCAAATTACTTTCTCCTAACCTCCTCCAGAGCAAGGGGAGTGGTGACTGAGGCAAACGTGGTTTCACAGGCACAGCTTTTGTTAACCTCCTGGCCTGCTGTGTATCGTTAGCACAGGTGAATGACACTGCACAGCCAGTACCCAGACTGTAAAATATTAGAATAGAATAGAATAGTTCAGTTGGAAGGGACCTACAACCATCACCTAGTCCAACTGCCTGACCCCTTCACGGCTGACCAAAAGTTAAAGCATGTTACTAAGGGCATTGTCCAAAGGCCTTTTAAACACTGACAGGCTTGGGGCATGGAGAACCTCTCTAGGAAGCTGGTTCCAGTGTTTGACCACCCTCTCGGTAAAGAAATGCTTCCTAATGTCCAGTCTAAACCTCCCCTGGTGCAGCTTTGAACCATTCCCACGTGTCCTGTCACTGGATACCAGGGAGAAGAGCTCAGCACCTCCTTCTCCACATCCCCTCCTTGGGAAGCTGTAGAGAGCAGGGAGGTCACCCCTCAGCCTCCTTTTCTCCAAACTAGACAAACCCAGAGTCCTTAGCTGCTCCTCATAGGACATGCCTTCCAGCCCCTTCACCAGCAAACAGCTGGTGAAAACAGCTGTATTTCAAGTGATTCTGTGTGATGTGCAACTGTGGGGAAAAGGAGATGAGAAACAAGCACAGGCTGAAGAATAAACAGTGCTCCAGCCTCGCCTGTTGGAAACACAGCAATCCCCCAAAAGTGCCATGTGACAGGTGGACCCTCCTCCTATGGACCAGAACACGTTCCAGTGCAGAAAAGGGTAGAGACTGTCTTCCCCAGCCCACGTTTCCCCTGGCATCAGAGGAAACCCTGCCGAACCATGACTCCCATGGCTGCACAGTCCTTTCTCCTCCTCCCTCCGAGCGTGGACTGACACACATAGCTGCTTTCTGGTGGTTACAGGCAGGTAACAAGCCAAAGCGGTAGGCAACTCACAGAAGGCTGACATTGGTTCCATTAGTCAACTTCTTGTACTCACAAGAATAAACTGAATCTTATTCCTAGAAATTAAAGGAAGGTCTGGATGCAGGACTGCTGGTAGGTTCACATGCAACACCACACATTGCAAAGAGAAGTCTTGACAGAAGTGTGAGGTTGCTCAATGGGATACTGCAAACACACGTGCAAGCACAAAGCCAACAGCAGTGGGAAATAAAAATTGCTATGCTCTTGGAGAAAGAATCTCTACATTTGGGAAAGACTTCAATTTATGTCAGCCTAATCATCTCTTACATGTTTCAAGAAGTAGTTCATAGAGACTCCAAGAATCCAAGCAGATTGTAAACGAAGTATTAATGAAGTTGATAAACACATCCTTTTCCTTCATTCCCTTTGTACTTGCTATGTTCTCTACATGGATACTCTCTATTTTCATTTCTGTCCTCACCAGCAACAGATACAGTAGGTGGACTAGTTTAATATTGCCAAAGAAAATCTGGTGTACACGTGTTCAGCGCAGCAGGGGGAAACCATCTCTCTCTAACATCCTAGAAACATCACCTGTCACTCTGGAAGAAAGTGGTGTCTCAGGGTGATACTGCACTGGAGTAATTCCCATGCTTTGATTATCAAAGGACTCCTCCTAGTGTTATCTTCCATCTGCCAGAGGAGAGATCACACAGATAGACCTTCCAGCCAGATGGAGCCACCAAAAATTCTCTTCATCTATCAGAAAGCTCAGACATAACTGAGATGCACTCATTGATATTCTCCTGCTCTCCCTCCTGCAAATACCCAAAGATAAATTACTCAGACAAACTCAGATTTAGACTTTAAATGTCACAGGCAAATCTTATGTAGCTCGTTTTTCCTTTCACTTTTTTTTCCCCGGCATGAAAGAATTATTCTTATTAACTCACTGGGGATCATGTCTTCCTTCTACTATCTTGGAAAAAGTACAACATGGCAGACAGACCTTGTACGACATAAGGCTGGCAGAACTGCTCTCCAAGTTCGTCCATTAAAAATCCAAAAATCTATTTGTGAATTTTATGCAGCATCGCCAACCGTCTTCTGGATGTCAGCATCCCAGTCTGACCCTTCTATAAAATGGGAAGGCTACGGTGATACAGGCTCCTGTAATTTGTGAGGTGTCTTTTTTATTTTTTTTTTATTTACATATATAGAACTAGTTTTGGAGCAAGGATGATTGGAGATTTTTTAAAATATAGATATAAATATATATTATATATATATATATTTATATAAAACCACACATGCAAGTCCTACCATCAAGGGACTCCCAAAAACCATCCCAACTCCAAAGTGGGGCTCTCATTCCCCAACTGACTCTTCCAAGCCACCAAGGCAGGCAGCAGTTCACTGCTTACACACCTCCTTCTCCTTGGACAGCTGACTATGCTGGGAGCCTTGTAAAGTTTGCAGAATCATATTAAACCTTCCCAAGACTACGTATTTGCCAACACATTGAGAAAAAGGACTTGGAAGACTGTAATGGCACTTCCATAAGTACCAGAGGTGAGGCTGGCAGCAGTGCTGCTTATTACAGCTGGCTGGCACTTCCCCCTTTCCAGAGCCACTTTCAACTGATAAAAAACGCAACCTCTTGCTAAATGTCATTTTGGGTATCTCCATTAAAACGATGCACATGCTGCTGAAAATAAAGCCAAAGAAAAGTACTTTTCCCTGTCCAGGTTAAAAGGTCTTGACATCCTTTTTCTCCGAGAAGCTCTAGTGTCTCTGCTCTTTGAAGCAGGGACTTGACATGACCTAGGAAAAAGCTTTATGTCTGAGAGATGCTTTTTACTGCCTTCTGAAATGGGAGAGGCATAATCCTGTGATAACAGGAACAAGAGTAGGGAAACAGGAGAAGAGTAAGGAAAAGAGAGGAAAACTGGGACCGAGAGATATGTGGGAAAGATGATGGATGAGCACAGGCAAGGAAATTTGGCTGGGGAGTCAGAGAGAAAAGGAGGGTGAAGGAGGGTGAGAGACAGTTGCTCTAAGCAAAAGCTAAGGAGAAAAAAATATGGGTGAAAAAGGAGAGTGAGATCAGGAACTATTTGGGTAAGAACAGGGTGAGCTGAAACCCATCCAAGATGCAGCTGGTACAAAGGGAGAGCAGCGCTGGCTTGGCAGAGACGGGAGGACCCAGAGCTGTGGCTGCAGTAACAGAGAGCGGAGACTTGCACGGGAGGCTGGCAACAACGGGGATCCAAGCGAAAGACAGGAAAGTAATGTAAGGCCATTTGGGCAAAAAAGAGAAAAGAGACAGGTGGCTAAGACAAGAAGAGTGGCTGTGGGGGGAAATACATCTAGGAGAGTTGTAAAAGTGAGGAAAAGAGGCAAGAATAAGACTTAGGAAATGACAAACAACATAGGAAAAGAAAGAAACAGGTCTAGTCAAAAGGAGAAGGTCAGAAGAGACCATCTTTTGGCAGAATTATGCGGCAGAGTCTGTGCCACTAAAACATATTCCCCTCCAGAGCCAAGTCCATGAAGGAGTGCAGGTTTGTAGCCACAGTAAAATATACACTTTGGGGACAACTGGGCTAGAACGTATCTTTTGCTTTACTTCATTTCTCAGCTCTGCTGGCACCAATAGCACAAAATAGTAGAGAAATAAAATGGACTGATATTACACTATAGTCCTTTCAAACTATGAAGCGGTAACGCTCAGTGCCTGTTAAGGACACTATACCAATTTACAGGAGCTGCGGATTTCGTTCAAATTGTCTTTCTTAGACACACCAACAGCTCGAGGGTCTGCCATAGGGAGTCCATGCTCCCGATGGAAAACCAGGCAGGCCTGCCCCATAATCAGTCCCACCCGGCGCCTGCTGGAGGCTGTGAGGAGTCGGCTACAGCTCTGCAGGGTGTTGATGCCTCCCATCCTTGCAATGCCTCCAGCACAGGTAGTGTTCTCCAGGTACAACCATGGGGGTGGAATAAATGACCCTCAGCTTCTGCTGGACAAGACAGGGACAACGCCGGCAAACCGCACGAGAGGCAAGAGAGATGGGTGGATGGATCTTTTTGGTGCTTGTGACTGAAGGAGAAAACACACCCGCCTAAGTAAACAAAAGTCCAAAACCTGCCAGAAATACTCTCTTGTCGCTACACCCCTCCCCAGGTTTCTGGAGGCTGGCAAGAGAAGCAGGTATGGGGGCGACTCCCTTTGAGCCCCCACCCAGGTGCTGTTCCTGCAGAAACCAGGCTGCAAAGGAGGGAGATATACAAGAAGGTGGGGGGGACACCTGCCTCAGCCTCACCCTGATGGGTCACATGCACCATATACCCACATCCAAACACTCCTGGGGCCACTGAAGTGTGCCCTTAATTATTTCCATGGGAACTGGTGGGTACACAGACAGACACCACCCTGTCCTTATGCTGTATTCTCTTTGTCCATTTTAATTCATGGAACTGGTGTGCAGAGCCCAGGAAAAATGACTGTGAGATTTATTTCTTTATTGAAAAAGCTGCAGAAGTGGTGCTGCTGATGGCTGCTGCTAGAGTTATAGATGCATCAGGGTAAAATACTGCGCTGAAAACCTTTCCCATGACCCAGTACGGAAGCAGTTTTTAAAGTAACTCAGCAATACACTTAGATGTCAACAGCAGCCTCTTAGCTACTGGAAAAAAAAGTGTGTATGGGAGACTTCACCGCTGCCTGATGCGGCCGTTCCAATAAAGTCTGATTTCATATAATCGGCTATAGCAAGTTCAAGGGAAGATCTGGGGCGGTGGGGAGATAGGAAAGGCAAGAGAATAAGCGGCAGTCCCCCAGTCAGCCAAACCCATAAAAGCTGATTTCCTGGTATTCCACCCACCCATGCACTGAGGGTTCTGAGCCCCCATCACCTTTAAAACCTTAGGCAACATATTTTTCAGTCCTCACCGTAGCAACCAAAGTCCAGCTGTTACAGATACTGAAACTTATGTATTCAGCAAGAGTTTACTACATAGTTTTCACCTTGAAAAAAGTGCGGGAGAACTTGAGCCTCCCTTCTTACTCCAAACACTGACTGGTATAAAACACACGCTATTAATAGTAGTATCCAATTTGTGTATTTTCAGAATAAACCAAAAAGAGTAAGCTTGTAAGAGCTTTCTCCCAGGATTTCCCCATGCTGTGCAGAGTACTTTCCAACAACGTGTGATCTGGTTCACAGCTCGTGAGCCAAAGAAAGATGTGAGGTTACTCTCTCCTACCTCCAGGGACCTTTCTGGAGCAATATCCCGGTAAATTCATGCCACTCCTTGCCTGGGGGCTGCACTGCTTACTTCTGAAACAAAGAAACCGATTTCAAAAGCTCTGGTAATTTTAGGACTGTTTTATATTAACTAGGGATTAGATGATGTCCTACAGATTCAGGAATATTGTTGCTACAGCTCCTACCACTTTATGCTTTTTTTTTTTTTTCTTCTTCTTCATCTGAAGGCTGACGTGCTACCTCAGACTGCTCCTTTGCCTACACAGTCCCAATGTAACGGTAGTAAATATGCAAGACTAAGGGTCTCCGTGTTCCCAAGTAGTATAATCTCCCATAGTGACTGCATTTTAGAAGAAAATAAATACTGGAAAGAACTCTCTTCATCACAGAGGGATTCGTTGGCTGCAAATTATACTTTTGAAAGCAAGATACAGCAAGATGCAACTAATAAAATGGTTCGCGGCACAACAGCCAAAGTGCTCTCTTCCCCATTAGTCTAGACGCAGCTGCAAGGCACCGAGGGTATGTGATAGATTTAAGAGTATTACCCAAACACGGTTCTCTTTACCTTCCTCCTACTGGCCCAGCACAGACCAGCGCTAAGCTGCCTGTGGACCAGGGAGCACAGCAGACGCTCGTCGCGCGCCACGATCTCAGCAGCCTTGCCTTTAATCAGGCAGCACAGGCCAGAGCCGGTTCAAAAAAGGCGAGACGCTAAGAAAATACCCCGCGTCTCAGCCACAGCGAGCTTGCTTCAGAAGATCTGCAGACGAAGCTGAAAAACGTAGCAATTTAAAAGGAGCAAAATTGGACAGTAAGAGCATTTACCTTTTATCTGAAAATGATTCATGAGACACCTCTACAAAGCGTCAGACAACAGCAAAGCAGTTCATCTACTATTGATAACCCAGCATTCCCAAGCCATCAATACCCATTTGAGTACTCCTAAAGTAAATTTAGCTCCATCTTCATTATTTTCTCTATTGAAAGATGGGGAACATATTCATGGGTGTTTACGCAATGGCAAGAGAGCACAGTATTGTACGTTTTATTACACTACCAAAGCAGAATCTCGTTCAGACGCTGCCAGTGTATAATTTCTGTCTCTCTAAAAGCTGGAAGGCAATCATTAGCATGTTGGATCTGGCAAGTTCATATTATCTATCTGGTAATTATAGAAAGATGGAGAAGCCTTCAAAAAAAAAAATACCCTCCAACTTCTGCATTTACTGCACACCTGATCAAAATACTATCACCATTACCTAAATTAGCACATCTTTCCCATGAACCATCATTCAGAGCACATTAACATTAGTATAAAAAGCATTAAATAATTATTAAAGGCTGCACCAACTACATTTTGTCTTCCCTTCCAACTTCAAAATATAAAACTATGCAACGACAACCTGAACGCTGGAAAACAATTTATTGACGGTGATGGCAAGCTAGGCTACATGGTAATTTGTTAGGCTCTGCTAGCCCAAATGAATGCTACAATACAGCTCTAGTTTTTCAAAATATGTGTACCATTAGTCAATGCTATTCATACTGCAGCAGCGTCAACGCGCTAAATAGACACCAAAAGATAATCCCATCCTCCAGAGACTGCTGTAGAAAAGGACAGAAAGATGAGAGACAAGGGAGCGGGCTAGGGCATACATATGCATACGTATACAAAGTAATTGGGATGACTGGCCCGTGCCTCATTATCTCATTTATTCGTGCTTCAGGTAAAGGGGAGACAAGGAGGTGCCAGGAAGATCGCAGAAGCTGGGACAAGATGGCTACAAAAGGAGCTGGAAGAATGGAAAGAGAAGTCAAACAGAGCACAGAAAGTGAGGCCAGGGAGGACAGACCATGAATGAAAAGGTTCAGCCAAAACCAGTGACTGGGGGTAAAACAACCACTCCATGCCGTGCAAAGGCAAGGCTACGACCGCTGGGAGCAGAGGGGCACAGGAAAGGTCTGAGAGGTGCTTTGGTCGCTCTGTTCTCGGGCAGGGGCTTAACCCCCCCAGCATCTCACAGACCCCCAGCAAGCCCTGCGTCACAGCCTGAACGGCACCGACTGAAACAGCAGGGCTCCTTATCTCTCTGGCTTATGCACCATTTTAATTACGCCAGTTGTGCAGGCCCTGGGCGGGTTGTCCCCGTGGGGGCCGGCTGCCTGGCTCAGGGCCAGCTCAGATAATCGGGGTGTCCCCGGGGAGCCCCTTCAGCTCCTGGCTCTCGCCCCGGCCCCTGCCGGAGCTGCAGCACTGCCGACCCCCATCCCAACCCTTGCGTGTCGTGTTTTTCCAAGAAGCCTTCGGATCAGGTAAGGCTGCAAAGACCACAGATAAAGCACATCAGTGCATGCCATCCTGCTCCCCGCTAATTCCCAAAACTAGAGCAACAAACAAATGGATTCAATTACCGAGGTAGGCGCTAGCCCAATTCAAGGGGATTGGTACATATGTTACAACAAGATGCTGGAGCCGCAGCCCGATCGCATTTACATGAAGAAATCATTTTATGCAAATTTCTTATCTACAAGTGAAGGCCGTACAGGAGAGGAGAAACAGCGCTGTACTGAGATTCACAATGCATGGCAGATGGGCAATTTAAGGTAAATCATACAGTTCAGTTATACACGACACATAACCTGGGGAGAAAGTGTGTAGCTTCAAAGTCATAAATTATTTATAAATAATACAGCCTTCTCATGAAATATCCAAGAGGCCGAGCACCCATTTTCCCCATTATTTTTCTCCACTTTCACAAATCAGAGGGAAGCTGAAGATTAGTATCTTATCAAGAATGAGGTAGTTTGGGGGGAGGATGGACCTGGATGGTGGAGTAGGTTACGGGCTTGTGGGCAGGAGCTGACGGCAGCAGGACTGCCGTGCCCACACACCCGGGAGCAAAGCAGCAGAAGCTCAAAGGAGGGAGCTGGAGCGTGCCAAGGAGAGAAACTGTCCCCCCGGGAGCTCACGCCCTCCCAAGGCTGTCACTGCCAGCCTGTTCAGAATCACCACTCGCTTTCCACCAAAAATGTCATGTTTTTTTAAGTGAAATCCAGTGCTCAGATTCACAAATCACAGCTGCGGCACCCACACGTGCGGCATGTTTTCTTCTGCCAGCAGTGCTGACTCTTCAGAGCGCTGGCTATGCTCTGCACAACACACGGGGACATCTCCGTGTTCAACTCTCCAGCTTCTTTCACCACTTCTGTTGTGATACCTCAGCAGTCTGACACCTTCTTGTCTTCGTTACTACCGTGGTTTAACCCCAGCCGGCAACTCAGCCCCACGCAGCCGCTCGCTCACTTCCCCCCACGGTGGGATGGGGGAGGGAAACGGAAGGGTAGAAGTGAGAAAACTTGTGGGTTGAGAAGAAGACAGGTTAATAGGTAAAGCAAAAGCTGCACACACAAGCAAAGCAAAGAAAGGAATTCACAGGGAACTGCACAGGCAGTGGAAGCAGGGACAGGCATCCTGGGAAGAGTACAGGGACGTGGTCCGGTTGTGTAGGAATGGGGTCAGGAAGGCCAAGGCGCAGCTGGAGCTAAACTTGGCTAGGGATGCAAAGAATAATAAGAAGGGTTTCTACAGGTATATCAGCCGGAAAAGGATGGTTAAAGAAAGCGTACCCCCGCTGATGAGCGAGACGGGCAAGCTGGTAACAGCAGATGAGGAGAAGGCTGAGGTACTCAACACCTTTTTTGC